CGCCTGCCGCTGGAGATGGCTGTGCACAGCCTGTCCCTGGCCTTCCTCCTTGGGGAGATCGCTGCTGCCTTCCTTGCGCTGAAGACCATGACCAAGCGGCTGGCGGCACAGTTCTACCTGCGGCAGCTGAAGGAGGGCAGCAGGGCACGGACAGGGACGGCTGGGGCAGGGGGGGCAGGCAGCTGAGTAGGGGTGACACAGGGAGCATTAAATGGTGCTTGGACCCCCCCCAACGCATCCACACGGTGTGTTTTTGAGCCACGCAGCTCAGCAGCTTGTGGGGTTCCTAAAGCACCCCACGGGCACGGACCCGGCTGGTCCCTGCCCTGCACCAGGCCAACAGAGCCCAGGACGGGTGGAACGCACGGCTCAGCGCCTCTGAAATGCTCAGGCTCGGCCCGGGGCCGCACTTGTCCCTGCTGAGCATCAGCCCTGGCAGGAGGCAGGAACCACCTCTCACTTTCTGAACAGCTTTATTTCATTGCGTCTCTGTTTTTCATGGGAAATCAAGCCCTGCGGCCATCTGGAACGTGGAGAAGCGCAAAGTGCTTTAAGCCTCTTGTGCCAAGCATGGGCCAGCCACTTCCCAGCAAGCTCTAGCTCCCGCAGCAGCTCCACAGCACGGCTCTGCTCGGTGCTGGGAGCTGCACAGGGGATAGCTTTGTGCTCCAGGAGCCGAGAACTTCTGCCGATGCAAGTGTTTCTGAAGGAAAGGCAGACCCTAAACACAGCAGCGCACACTGGGGCCAGGAGAACCAGGCCACCTCCACCTGGGCCGCAGCTGTGTCCCCATCGCATCTACCTGGAGGTTGCTCCAGAGTGAGGGGTGCTTGTGGCGGAGCATTCCTGATGTCCCTACGCTGCAGCCTCGGTCTTACCTTTAGGGGGTTTTGCCTGTGAGAGGAACAGGGGCATCTGAGTGTACTGGAGACAGCCCAGGCAGGCGCTGCTCTGCTCACTCCCATGCGACCAGATTCATTGAGACCTACGCCACACTTGTGATTCGAGAACAGGCTTTAGGAACAACGTTTTCCCCCCCAGTGGGATGGTGCAGCCCCAGGGCGGTTCACTGGGAGCTGGGGGATCTCTGTCCTCAGAGCTTTCCAAGACTTGGCCAGGTAAAGCTGAAGGTGACCCAAGCTAGGGCTGGCAGCTCTCCTGCGCTGCGGGGGCCTCCCAGCCTGCACCCTGCGACCCCCCCATTCGCCAGGGCTGGGCAGTGCCAAAGGGGCATCACGCACAGCCAGAAAACCTGTGACTGCACCGCAGTGTCGGCACCGGCACAGCGCCAGGACGCACTCTGAAGAGCTGCCCCCTCCCCACAGGGAGTGTGGGACCTCAGCTCTCCGAAGCAGCCCTGTCCTTACCTCCTCGAACTTCTCCTTCCGATAGAAGTCAGCCTTCGCATCCAGGTAGAGCAGAACCAGGTCGCAGACCACCGTGGCCTGGAGACAGACCAACGCAGCAGGGCAGTCAGCAGCGACACTTCCCGCAGGACCACCAGGCCCCCTGCCCACCAAGCCCTGCAGCCGGCCGCAGGCCGACA